CCTGTTTACACCTAGGATTTAAAACACATTACTAAAATTGTAATAAGATAAATGTCAGACAATTTAAAATCCTGAGCCGAAATATGTAAAAACATGCTTAAAAAAAAATTAAATACTGTTCATAAGATGACTTTTGATGGCAACCTTAAAACTTTGTAACCTGTTGATCTCCGTTAACTTTACAGGTAAATCATTCCATAATTTAATACCAGAGAAAGCAAATGATTTAGAACCCTGGCCTTTGACCTTAGGTAGACAATATCCACCCTTTTGACTAAGTCTTGTACTATAATTATGAATGGAATCTTGTGAAATAAAGTGTTCAGACATGTAATCCGGAGATAGGCCATTTTTTATCTTAAAAACATGACACAACATTATCTGTTCAACTCTTTTGTGGACCGGTAACCAGTTAAGGGACTTAAAGTGGGATGGGTCAATGTGGGCTCTAGAGTCCAAGTCAAGTACAAATCTCATTATTTTGTTTTGACAAGTTTGTAACTTATTTTTTAAAGACTGTGTCAAGCTATTATACCAAACAGAGCATACGTAATCATAGTGACACTGAATAAGAGACATAACCAGAAGTTTCTTGGTATGCTGAGTAAGAAACTCTTTCTTGCGGTAAAGAAATTTTAACCGAGAGTTGGCCTTCTTAAGAACAGACTCGGCCATGGCGCAAAATGACAGATTTTGGTCTATAGTAATCCCAAGATACTTGATAGATGAAGTTGATTCAATGGATGTACCATCACAGGTTATATGCAGGTTAGATTGTGACCTAAGTTTTTGCCTGGACCCAAATAGAATTAACTCGGTTTTACCCAAATGCAATGACAACTTATTGTCCACTAACCATTGGCTGACCAATTCCATATCATCTGTCAATGCCTTTTCAACAACAGATAAACTTTTACCAGATACAAGGATACCAGAATCATCAGCATACAAAAGCAATTTATTTTTGACCACATCTGACATATCATTTACATAAATTAAAAAGAGAAGGGGTCCAAGGATTGAGCCCTGAGGAACACCACATGTAATTTTGGAATTGGAAGAATAAGTACCAGAGACATCTACAAGCTGCTGTCTATCTGATAAATATGATTTGAACCAATTTAGGACGTCAATACTAAGACCTGATGCTTGCAGTTTCATTAAAAGAATGGAATGGTCGACTGTGTCAAACGCTTTCTGCAAATCCAGCAGCACCATACCAACAACATTACCTTTATCGTTTTCATAACTGATAAAGTATGTAAGGTGAATCAGACAAGTATCAGTAGAGAAGCCACTCCTGAAACCTGATTGCAATTTATACAGCAGATCTTTATCCTTAAAATAAGCTTCAATCTGGTCATAAACCACCTTTTCAAGGATTTTAGATACAACATTTAAAATGGTACCAGGCCGGTAATTACCAACAGACAATTTGTCGTTCTTTTTATAGAGGGGAACAACTCTTGCAGATTTAAGATTATCAGGGACGACTTGACCTTGGATAAGGGATAAGTTTATGATATGAGCTAATGGACTAACAATAACTGGGGATCCATCTCTGATAAAACGTGAGGGTATACCATCTAAGCCAGTAGCTTTTTTGACACCTAATGAAGTTAAGTAATTAAGAACTTTACTTTCAGAAACAATGGAAAAAGAAAAACTGTTTGCAAAAACACCCTTGTTTGCATAAAAAGTATTAACAAAATTCGTACCAAATTTATGCATACTTTCTGGCAACTTTTCAACAAGTTTACATGCAACTGTTGTATAAAATTTGTTAAATGATTCAGCAATAAGTTTCTTTTCAAAACACACATTATCATCAATATTTAAACAAATATTTGAACTGGTTGAAGATGAACCCTTCTTGGAAGGCAAACCAAGATTTTTAACAGTTTTCCATAAAGAGGTTGAGTCATTTTTGTTCTCATCCAGTGTATTAGTAAAATATTCCTTTTTTAATGGCAATTAAATCATGATTATGCTTATTTATTATAATATATATAATTAGTTGCTAATAGTATACGTCTACAAACTGCAATTTTACTATAAAATTCTATTAAAACGGTATTATTCCAATTTTAAAAGTCACTTTCGCTCACTTTCGCTCACTTTCGTCAAAAATCTCACTTTCGTATTTTAGGCAAACCCTTTTTAAAGCCCACTCGATGAAATAAAATTTCATCTTACACACAAACAAACAAATATCCTCTATTTATCTATCGTTACGATCGAAGCTATCTACATGACAGTTTGTCATGTATTTATAAAAGGCTTACCATTTGATGTTTGTACGGCTGACATAAAAAATAAAATCGCAGTTTGTATTTGAATATCTTCTAAAACATGAGTGTGCGAGCAGTGTTATGTTTTTTTATGTCCTGGGCATATGAGTACTGAATCATTTGTCTGTTCGTTGGTATGATGTACAAATGCAAATGGCTTATTACAGTAGCAAGTTTCATATAGATTAATCCATTTCCCCAGTTACTTCCCTTTTTTAACACATTGAGATGTTTTGCGGCAATTTGGGTATATAATATGTTATGTTTTATCTGACTACCAGTTGCTTCATTATAGTATCAAAGTACATGGCAAGTAATATTATAAATATAACTGTGTCATCTATTTTTCCCAATTATTTCCGTAGCAAACTTCATCTACGGACAAATTAATATCTTCCGTTGTTTAAACAGTTTAAAGTACTTGAGATACCTTGGAAAGTTCACGTTCAACTTTTGGAGGAGTTTAGCATCAAGCCTCAAGGGCACTGGTGTAAAAACTTACTTTTTACATTTGCTGATACTTGCCTTAATTTAAAGACTGATATGAGTGTGTCAAGGTCAAGATCACCAGTGCCTAAAATAGATTTTCCAAGTACATACCATGGATAATCTTACTTGAGGTTGAGAATGGGGTTGTTACTAGGGTCAAGGCCAATACTGCTTAAAATAGATTTTTACACTTTTGGCCATACAGCCTTTAATTAATAATTTACATGAAATTAATTTTATAGGGTGCTAATAAAGTTTGATTTTTACACTTACAGCCTTTATTTACTTTATTTTTTGTGTGTTTCATAGTTTGTAGGAAATTTAATTTGGTGGTCCTGTGATATAGGCCAGGGTGCATATCTAGTCTGTAGTCACAAGTTCAAGAACATCAGTGTTAAAATGGATATTTACACTTTTTTCATACAGCCTTGTCTTTTATATTATGTAGTTATCATGGGTGGTTAACTAACTCTGTGTTGAGGTTGGAGTCACTGGGTTCAAGCCTCAAGGTCAAGGTCTAATATGTATATTAATAGATTAATTTTTATTACATGGTATTCATAGTGTCTAGAAATGAAATTTATTCTTGTTTTAGTGTAATCACACCTGGCCTGCTTATATTTTGTACTTCCAAGTGTCCCTTGTTGCTAAGGGTTGGGGCCTCAGAATTGCAGCCACCTTTTATCCTTGGATTGAGATTGAGTCATATCATACTTAAATAACAATTTATATTTTCCTGACAGAATATTAATAATAAATGATATCTTAGCATAATGCATGTCAGTTTAAGTGTTATTACAACATATATTGATAGTTTAAGTGATGTTTCACTGTTAAGTTGTAACAAAATTTTGCCAAAATAAACTGTGATAAAAACGAATATTTTGAACAGGTTAGTAATTTTTTGAAATTTCTTGCTTATTATTATCATCTTACAACAAATAAGATTTGGTTGAATAGTCATGGCAAATTTTGTTATCCAGATGTGATAATGTTTTGCGTCATTGCAAATTAACAAATATATGAGAAAGGTTTATAGGATTAGTTGTTTTGTAACTGGAGAAATGAAACAAAGAAAACAGGATTAATTTGCAATGAGATTTTTAAAGACCCATTAATGCTTCAGAAATGCTATCATTTTGATTTCACAAAATTTTCTATGTTTGATATCTTGTAACAATTTTCAAAAAATACTTATCTGCCACATAGATGAACTATCTTTTTCTACTTTTGCTTTGTTTGCAATTGGTATAATCATAGTGAATATTTAGTATTTTGTATGGAAGTCAAAATAATACTTTGCATACACTTTGTTACCTTTTTGACATTTAACCGCATATTCAGCACAAATTTCTTCACTTTTTAAACATCTTACATATGCTATATCCATTATCAAAACATTATTTCACATATGTTTAATATTTCTGAAGAATTTAAAAAAAATATGGATTTCTGAGGGATAAAGTGTCTTTAAACCTTTTTTTTTTCAATAAAATTCAATAGTTCAGTACAACTGTTAGTGCAAACATGTGTAGTGTACATCATTGAATTTATTTTTATTGCTGTCGAATTTGAATACGGTTCAATTTTAGATATTTTATTGACGCTTACATTTTAATATAAATGTTATACTGTAAAATATAATGCCAAAACACTCATTACCGTAAATTCAAACTTTCATTCAAAAATAACTTTTAATACACAGTGCCATTAACAAATAAATATCTATAGAACCACACAATTTTATATAGTGATTTTTTAAAACATTTTTCGCAACAGCAAGCCCATACCCCTGATATTGTAACTTTTTAGCATGATAATTATTCTGTCAAATTGTGAAAAATAAACAAGAATAAATCATCACTTCTATTCACTTTATTCATACATTTTAATAATTATATTTATTGTTTAAGCATTCTTCTTTTTATTCCCTTAAACATACCAACCAGATTGTCAAGATTGTTATTAATTTTGTCAGTTCAGTATTTAGTTTGGTACCGAAAAACAATATTCAGCTAATTGTGAATTTTCTTCACATTGTTGTGGATTTTTTTATGTTCTTTGGCTTTTGTGAAGGGACCGAAATTCAGGGTCAATGTGAAGCCTAAAAAAATCACTGACATACTAAATAAAACAAAACTTTCCAAATTTCAAATGATGGTCAGGTAGATTCTAATGCGTTATTACTGTATCTATTACATCTTTGACATTTTTACCTCCTTCTTTGTTGTTAAATATAGGATTCGTCATTCACGACAGGAAAGTTTCTGAGCGGCGGTACAATTGTCAAAGGTCCAGATGCTTTGTCAGTTTGTGGCACATTGAATGAAGCCATGGCTAACAGTCAGAATGGATGGCATACTTTACACTGCTTCACAAGGTATATTTTATTGTTTATAAAGATTTCCATATGGCTCAGTATACACTGTATGTCAATATTTTATCAAAGGCACATTATGCCTCAGAAATTTGTAATTCTTTAGAAATGCCAAACAAGTGTTACACACTTTCTTTCAGTTGGTGACCATACACTGCTTTTCATGGAATGGCACGAAAGTGTCACATTGAAGGATCCATGATAACCGCCGTATGAACACATCTGGGGATGTTTCTAAATTCAAAATTTCACCATTTTCTTGTTTAAATGTTGAATTATGCTTATGCAGGTGCTAGGGGGCGCGGACAGTTGTTGCACTTTACAGTACCATCTATCAACAGTCTCAATCAAACCAAGCTTGCATCATTTTAAATTTTGCCATTTTGGACTTTCTTTAGGGATTCATTTTTTCTCTATTTGATAATGTTTTAATAATGGATTGATAGCATGTTAGCTATTCAATTTCTGTAAAACAGTAATGCTGAACATGCTGCAGTGTGTCGTTAAGGTATCAAAATGTAAACAAAGTGGTATTTTGACTTCCCTAAAAATACTTATTCACTAAATATACAATTTGCACACTCTGGCAAAGTAATCAAAAGATTCATGGATATGGCAAATGAGTGTTTATTGGAAACTGTAACAAGATACCAAAAATTACAAGTTTATGAGAAATGAAAATTAAAGCATTTCTAAGGCATAATATTAATGGACCTTTAACAACATCTTGTTTTGATTTCATTTTTTTCTGCAAATACGTGGCAATGTGATACAAGTCATATATTTTATGATATATACTAAATGGGCGTTATACATATGAAAGCACGGGAATGTATTTATGTACCTTAATATTCAAATACGTATGTCATATTAAAGATGCATTAAATTTGCCAATGCTGGTTTATAATTATAAAATGACGTTAAGTCATATCCTTTTGCAGATTTCCTGAAAATCTGTTTTTAGGCAAAAAATAAAAAACAAAAAAACCGATGATGATGGAAAAAAGAATCATAAAAGCAGTGTACTTAGTTTTGTTATAGATCTAGATATCCATGAACTTTTGAATAAGTCTAAAATGGAAAACTGGGTGTTGATTGATTAGACTAGTTTAATGGCCTGAAAAATGAACATGTTCTGTACTTGGGACACAGTCAGGTCATCTTCAATAGAATTCAATTGAACCTAAAAGCACAAATTTTATAGTATATAAACTTATGACTATTTTGTTGATTTTTTTCCGCAGGGAAAACATTGCTGTACAGGAAGGTAGCACATGGTACGACAAATATAGAAGTGAGTTTATACTTTATTGTTTATTTGTATTATAATTCAAGTAGACTGAAGTTTCCTCCTGTTTATTATTTTCATGACAGTTGAAATATTTTACTGCTCAATAATCAGATGGATCTCTTTGAAAATTGAGTCTTTTTAATGAAAATATGAATTTTATTGTATATCCTTATATTTAACAGAGAACTAAACTTACAAGTATTGTAGAAAACAAATAAAAAGGAAATAATAAAAATATGCAAAATGTAAATGAAAAAGTGAAGTGTTAATGGAATGACTGATTCTAATAGTCTTGAAGGTTGTGTACTTCTGTAAAAGAGAATGAACATTATTTTTAAAGCTGCATGCCCCCAAATTTGCCAAATATCTCATGAAAATTAAACTTGAGAAAATTGAACTAAGATTTTAAGAAAAGTAACAAGATTCAAGATTTAAGTAATAATTAACATGTGTGATTAATGGCTGATTTTGCAGTATTGATCACCATATTTCTACAGTATTTCTAACAAGAGTAAGGGCTATTTTTTTGCATATTTTGACCTGATTTTGGTTATTTATGTGGATGATATAAATGTAAGTGTCATTTGCAATGTCTAAATTAATACATGTGTTCACTTCACAATATTTTACTTTTAAATACATATATTCAAAATTTTCATTAGATTTTGCATGAATCTGGAGGCATATGATGCTAAGTTTGTCACGTAAAAAGGATTGTTATAACGTTATGATGACACAGATTGTTTTTAGTAATACCACTGCCGTCATCAAATCATGTTTTCTTTATTATTAATATTCCTCACCTTTTATTATCATATTTCACAAGTAATGCTTTAGATTATTTTTCATTTTATTTAAAAGTTCTACAATCCCTTGAAAAAGTAAGGGAACAACTTGTACGATCTACAGTGACCATTAGGCAAAGAGGATGGTGTCAGTTAATTTTGCTTGTAATAGAATTGCTTTGCCAAGCTTTGAACTTGAAACAGTCTATTCAAAGTTAAAGGGATTTTGATTTGAAAATACTAAAAAATTTAGCTACCAACAGTATTGTGCCTTGTCAGTAGGGATTGGTTAATAATTGAAAATGATATTCATATTGCGATATTTACAGACATATTGAAATACTATTTTTATGCTCCCCGAAAAATTTCGGGGGAGCATATAGTCGGCGCCTTGTCCGTCTGTCCGTCCGTCTGTCCGCACTCAAAGGAGAGTAATTATGTGGCTAGAGGGACAATAGGTTCTCTTTGATGTCATTCATTCCGTAATGCTTTTATGTGGCTATTTTCTTTTGCGTGGCTAAAAAGAACAATAGAGAGAACAATAGAGTAGCCACATAATTACTGTCCTGTGAGAACGTCCGTCCGTCTGTCCGTCCGTTGTCTTGTCCGGAGCATAACTTGAAAACTCTTGGAGATAAATTGTTGAAACTTCATACAGTGGTAGAGGGCATTGAGGGGGAGTGCAGTGTCAAAGAACCATAACTCTATTTTGCCCAGATTTTGAATTATCTCCCCTTATAGAAAAATCTTGTCCGTGGTATAACTCTAAAACTGTTAGAGATATCAACATGAAACTTTGTAGGTAAATAGATCTCAATGGGTAGATGTACAGTGCATAAAAACAATAACTCTTTTTGTCCTAATTTTGGAGTTATTGCCCTTTGTTAATTTTAACACTTCGAACTTTGTCCGGAACATAACTCTAAAACTATAAGAGATATCAAGATGAAACATTGTAGGTAGATAGATCTCATTGAGTAGAGGTGCAGTGCAAAAGAACCATAACTCTGTTAAGCTTTATTTTTGAATTATCTCCCCTTTTAGAAAAATCTTGTCCAGGACATAGCTGTAAAACTATAAGAGATATCAACATGAAACTTTGTAGGTTGATATATCTCAATGGGTAGATGTGCAGTGCACAAGAATCATAACTCTGCCTTGCCTAATTCTGGAGTTATTGCCCTTTGTTTATTTTTACCTTTTGAAGTTGTCCGGGACATAACTCAGAAATCATAAAGGATATCACCAAGAAACTTTGTAGGTTGGTAGATCACATTGATAGAAGTGCAGTGCAATGAACAGTAACTATGCCTTGCCTAATTTTGGAATTATTGCACTTTGAACTTTTTCCAGGGACATAACTCTGAAACTACAAGAGGTGTACTTTCCTGTGTCCAAAACCTATTCGGGGAGCATCACCTGGCTCAAACCCGGCTCTTGTTATTATTGTGTTATATGAGCCGTGTCATGACAAAACCAACATAATTGGTTTGTGACTTGCATGGATCCAGACCAGCCTGCGCATCCGGGCAGTCTGATCAGGATCCATGCTGTTAGCTATCAGTTTCTCTACTTGTTATACAGTTTGTAAGCGAACAGCATGGATCCTGATCAGAGTTTAAACAATTAATCTAGTGCCATTTAACTAGTCCTGTCTATCTTTAATAGAATTTTTTTGTTTTTATTTAAAGTTTATTGCTTCAGTATATTGTGATATCTGAAAAGATATTGCGATATAATATTGCCAGATAAAATATTGCGATATCCAATAACAAATAAAACATGGCCTTGATGGCAATATGCAAGTTTACTGACTGGTTAGTCAGATGGAGGAAGGTATAAGGCCCAGGCTTTCAAATAATAATTTATTTGTTCAATGTGTGAAATAAAAATTCTCACACCTTAGTTGAATTTTTATATTATTTTCAAGCAATGCAGCAAATAAACATGCTCTTTTTTTAATATTTCATTATTCTGATAAAGAGGCGAATTGCCTAGCCATTTTGACAGTTTGACAATATCGTCTGTTTATGTTGTCATGAAATTCACACTTCATGAAAGTCACATTTAAACAGTCTGTATAAGAATTATGGACTGGGTAGCCGGTCTGTATGCAATTTATGATCTGGATGATATCGTATTAAATATAGAAGGGTGTATGTAAATGAAGTATAATATTGCAATATATTGCACAACCCTACTTGTCAGACTGCACTGATGTACAGACTGGTTGGTCTCTATTCCGGTGGCGAGGGGTAATCACTTTTGGCCCTAGCATGGTAAGTGTTAAAACAAAGCATTTATTTATATCGCAGCTTTGGTAAAGAATCAAAAGGTCTGTACGTCTAACAGAAGAGATAGAGTGGCAATCCATGAGTACAGGGGAGATGGTGTTAGCATACAAATTGCCCACGGTCTTCTACGCTTGTAAGTCAAGTCTTTTTCGGACAAAGTTATCAGTTTGACTACCTGTAAAATTAACAGGGAAGGACTGAATACATGATTGTATAAGAATATTTTTCATTGGTCATTCTAAAATAAAATGTAAAGGATAGTTCTATCTATTCTAAAATAAAATTAAAAGGATAGTTTTTGCCACTATTGAATAAAATGTAAAGGATAGTTTTAAAATAAAATGTGCAGGAATGAGGACAGTTCTTTAACCTTTAGGGTTAATTTGTAAATGATTACAAAATGTCAAAGTCAAATTAAAACAAGTAGAAGGGACACCTTAAATAGAAGTTTGTCCTGAACTTTGAAAGATCATCAATATGCTTTAATTTAATTTCAATGTTAACAAAATTGGTATTTTCTTTACTACAAGAAATAATTATTATGTGATTGTTATAAAAGCAGCTTTTTGTATTCAAAACTTAGAAAATGTTAACCAGTTTTACTTTGGTTGAGTATCTTTTTTAAAGATACTTCTTGTTTTGTATGTCTTGTGCAGGAAATACAAAAATGAAGCAGATGATGTTAAAATTTAGGATTAAAAAGATCGTTATTATGACTACTCTATGAAAAATGTGTCCTGGTACTCATTTTAAAACATATGTGTTATAGAGTTTTGATTCCATGTATTCTGATTGAGTTTCTTCTTGTTAGCTCACCTGCACTCATGATATGAACTTTGATCAATGATCAATGGTTGTCTCTGTTGGCCAAATTTCTTTTTATTGTCTTTATTTGGACCAAACTTAATCATAATTGTATCATCAAAAACTGGCCAAAAATACTTTGCCTTAAATTTCCCATCAAGAGAATATCATTTGATTTGATTTAACCCTTTCCCTCATGAGCATATTGTATAAAATGGCCATTTTCACTGAAAAGACTCCTGTTACAAGTTCAAACTGCTATGAAACTATGAAAAATGCTTCAATACTAATCAAACTTGGCACAAATGTTGACTTTGTAACTACGTGCTCAGTATTAATTTTCCTGTTAACATGGAAACAAGAGGCCATCTCAAAATTGCCAAAAATCACTATTTTGCCTCGATTTTTTCCATCAAAATTAATTTAAAAGTGCTGCAACTTCCCAAGGGATTGAGATAGAGTCAAAGGCTTTTCAGTGTTGGTTACACGTTACCTTATGATGGACCTGGGGTCATTTTTAGCCTCTCATAAGTCAAAATTTTTTTTGGCGATGAGGGGGACTCCGCCTGCCCTTCAAACCCCCCAAACAGAAGGGGGCACATCCCCCTTCTGGCAACCCCCTGATGTATCTTTTGGATGGGGGGCGATGCCGAAAAAGTGCTCACTTTTTTTAGCAACATTTTTCAAAAGAAAACATGTGTTTGGGGCCCAAATAGGACATTTTTCACTATTTCAGGCTTAAAAGGGGGGAGGGGGTCGAAAGTGCGTTGTTTCGCGTATATATGAGGTAAAGGGTTAATAAATTAAATCAAATGATATTGTCTTGATGAATTTTAAACTTGCACATATTTTTTAAATCAGTGAGGTTTGGTTTTTTCCTTAAGTATAGTTAATTCTTTAATTGTCTGTTAGAACCATAATATGTAGTCAGTTGTTTCTTTAGAATTATAGGCCAACATTAATGATTTACTGTTAAAGCAGAAATTAAATCTGCAAGAAGATAATAAGATTCCTATCTACTTTGCGCACAAATATTTTTTCTTTCAATTAAAAAGAACATCAGATGTTCATGTTCAAATAAAAATTCTAATTGTCCCTTTTATTTTGCTCAAGTTGTACTAAGAAGCTTATGATATAGGTATAGGTTTATTTGTACCTACGGATTAGCTGGGAAAAACCGACATTTGCTGAGTTCCGGATTACATCTATTACGCTATATGAACAGACCAGAGTGTGTTGGAAGCCTTTGAAAGAAAAAAGTTAAAATGAATTAGAAAAGTATCGATCAAAAGGCAGGGGAAATTAAGCAATGCATGTATTTTTGTCTTATTTTTTCCCCTTATAAATATGATTTGTATGTGACACATGATTTTTAAAACTCAGACTGGCATGTAATGATATATTTTCTAATTTAAGTCTTGGGGCAAAGAGAGATAAAGATAATTCATGCAGCAGGAATGGTTGGTACTTGATGAAGATACCACAATCAGAAAAGACCCATAATCCGGGATTCTGGGGACAAAGTTGGTACTTGTCTGACTGTACAGTAAAGGACATGTGTAACTACGTAAATGGGTAAATCATTTCTATTTTGTCATGGTATTCATAACTGTTGGTCTTAAAGCTAATATGTAGAATTTGTACATTGTAGCAAAAACCCTAATATGTAGAATTTGTATATAGTAGTCTAAACCGTAATATGTATATTTGTATATGGTAGTGGAAATCTTTATTATGTACATGTAGTAATATTATATTGAAGTTGAAACCCTAATATGTAGAATTTCTATATAGTAGTCTATAAGGGTGTAACGGTTTACCGGTATACCGATATATTGCAATATGAAAAAATAAATTTCGAACCGCGGTACGATTTTTGGAAAACCGGTATTTTATAAAAATCATCATTTTCAATTAATTGCCTTCTAATTTTGTACAAATTTCACATAAAATCTTTAATTGGCAAATTTTGTTGGCGCCAACGTAAGATAAAAGTATCCGACTACTAGTACACTTAAAAGTCAATAAGCGGCCGCATAATTTACATAAGCGGCCCATATGTGAAAGGTCACACACGACTAGTTTTGTTTATCAAATTGTGTGACACTACTTTCTATTTATTCCTTACATTTTTGTTAAGTTTCTACTAAAAATATATACATATAATAATAATATATAAATGTTACTCCATCTTTACATCAAAACATATACACGACAATACGTATTGCAATATATTGCAATACGCTTCAGCAAAATGGCAATTAATATGTACAATTTCTATATAGTAGTCTAAACCATAATTTGTACAATTTGTATATTGTAGTCAAAACCCTTACATGTAGAATTTCAATATAGTAGTCTAACTTTATTTTGTAGACTTTATTTATATAAGTAAAAACCCTAAAATGTAGAATTTGTATATTGTAGTAAAAACCCTTATATGTAGAATTTGTATATTGTAGTCTAAGCCCTAATATGTAGATTTTGTATATTGCAGTCTAATCCGTAAAATGTAGAATTTGTATATTGCAGTCTAATCCCTAATATGTAGAATTTGTATATTGCTGTCGAAACCCTAATATGTAGAATTTGTACATGTAGTCTAAACAGTTATTTGTACAATTCATATATTGTAGTCTAAACCTTAATATGTAGTATTTGTATATTGAAGTCTAAACCCTAATATGTAGAATTTGTATATAGCTGTCTAATAGCTAATATGTAGAATTCAGATATTGTAGCCAAAACCCTAGTATGTAGAATTTGTATATAGTAGTTTAAACCATAATATATAGAATTTGTATATTGTAGGCAGAATCTTTGCATGTAGAATTTGTATATAGAAGTCAAACTGTAATTTGTTGAATTTATATATTGAAGTTGAAACCCTAATTTGTAGAATTTGTATATTGTAGTCAAAACCCTTTTATGTAGAATTTGTATATTGTAGTCAAAACCCATATATGTAGAATTTATGTAGAATTTGTATATTGCAGTTATGATACCCAAATATATAGCATTTGTACATTGTAGTCACAACCCTTAAATGTAGAATTTGTATATTGTAGTTATGATACCCAATTATGTAGAATTTGTATATTGTAGTCACAACCCTTATATTTAGAATTTGTATTTTGTAGTCTAAGCCCTAATTGTATGAGGGTGAGAGGTAATCTAGTTAATGAGACAATCTGGCATGCATGGGAAGAGACACCATTACCAGGTGATATACTCTCTATAGACGAGCAGTGCAAAGTTAGGTGGGGTAATAGTTCAGTACAGTGTGATCCGACTGGACAGGGAAATGTAAGTAGATTTGTGTCCACTCTTATGAACTCTTAAAGTTAAAAGCCCATTATGCTCAAAAATTTTTTTTTCCCTCTAAACCTTTTAAATTTTAGCTCAACTATTGCCAGAGTAGGGAAAGCTATTATACTCACCCCGCCATTGCTGCTTAACTTTGGTTAAAGTTTGGCATGCAAGTTGGTATGTCCAAAACTGCTGAAAAGGGAATGGGTTGAAGCTTCACACACTAATTTAAGAGCATAATGTAAGGTCACTGTCCAAGGTGACAAATAACTCTAACATAGATTTTGACAGCATTATGACCCATTTACAACTTAGAAAAATTCTTTATTATCCAGGCTCTTGTTTCATTATTAAACACACTGTCTTACCTACAACATGTGTTGATGTATGTTATAGTCTGGGCCATACAGCTGAACCATATTTTGCTTATTTTGAATCTTGGCATTTTTATCTCAATTTGTTCTCCTAGAAAGAAAAATTAGAGGTATTGTGACAGTCATGGTGGCGTTGCTGTCCCCAAACTTTAACCTTGATCATAAAGTTCTTTTTGTATTGTCTTAATACTTGGCCACAACAAATCTTTGGACAAGACCTTCAAAACGACCAGACTAAACTTACCCTTCATTTGCAAATGACCTTGACCAAGGTCAAATGTCATAATGTCTAACTATTCCTGATTTTTGCTGAATTTACTATTAGTGGATATTTTCGAATGGATTTTCAATAAACCTGGACACAACAGTCTTTTAGGATAGACCTTTAAGTTAATCAGGCAGACGTTGACCTTCACTCAAAATTGACCTTGACCTTGAAGGTTAGATTATTGAAATTGTCTTATTTTTGCTGTAACTTGTCATAACTTTGTTATTAATGAATAATGGATTGACTTCATATTAAAACACAACATTCTTAAGGATAAGATATGTATGTCAAACTCAAATTGACCTTGGCTCTTTTATAACTTGACTTTGAAGGTTAGAATATTGAATTTTCACTGATTTGAGCTATTATTGACTGTAATTTAGAAATTAATGACTGGATTATCTTCATACTTGGACAAAACAATTTTTTGGACAAGACCTAAATTTTAAATGTTGAACTCACCTTCACCTTAGGCTTTTAATGACTTAATTTGATTCTTTGACATTGAATTTTTGTTAAACTGTCATGATTGGTTATTTATGTACACATTTGATTCATAATTGGACAAAACAAGACTTATTTTCAAACAAACAAATTGAATAATTTGATATGACTGTTGACCTTTAATTGACCTTGACCATCAAGGTCATAAGAAATTCTCTCTTTGCTTCTCTTACTTGCTATAACTTTGTTATATATATATATATATTATATGGATTTATATTCAATCAACACATTGAAAAACACATTTTCCTTTACTAATTAGTTTCATGCGCAAAACGCAATCTTCAGAAGTGTAAATGGTAGTTCTCAATAAAGGGACGTAACTATGAAGTGTAAATGGTGGTTTCTCAATAAAGGGGCGTAAAAACTATATTAATACTGTTCATTTTTTAAAGTTTGCTTAATAGATATTTCCTGGAATGTCTGCAGGTTGTTACAAGTTCGTTTTCTTTTGTTAAGTTTAGCGTTTTCTTGTTTGCAGATAATGTAGAATTTCTCCCATAGGCACAAGTTGCATCGGTCGGAGGCTGGGTTGTAGGGTGAGGCTTGTTTTAAGATATTCCATGTTATGTTAAAGTCGATGTTTTCTTCTTTTGAGTTCCCAGATATATTTACTTAATTCAGTGCTGTTTTTTAAGCTTAGGATTTCTAAATGATGCTTTGTGGTTTGTAAATCGGGTTTTAAGGTATTTTCTGTTAATCCTACATAAGTTTGTTTAGGCTTGTCGTCGTTTGTTTCCACTGTAGCTCTATATACAACCGATTTTCACAAGCATCGTCTGACATGGGGCAATCTATTATTTTCCTACAATTGCATGTTTTAGGCTGATTTTTTACTATTTCTTTGGAAAGAATAGCTTTGTTATGTCCGTCGATTATTATTGTTTTTTATATTGTTCATGCAACTATAACTTAATTTGACTGTGTTTCTATTGAATATTTTGTGTAGCAAGTGTTCCTTGGGAAATTCTTCGTCTAGTATTTTCAGAAACGTTTTTCCAATGTTGGTTTCTACATTTTTTTACTATATGGTGGGTTATACCAGATTATATTTCTGCTTCTGTTTTTGCGATTCTTGGTACCGTTGTCAGTCTTTTTCTTCATTTGAGTATTTAAGTTGGTGTTTATATCCACTATTTGTAATAGACCTTTGGTAGATTGGTGTTGCTATGTCAAAAGATTCTTGGTCATATGATATTTCGCATAGACGTTTGTTAATGCCTATGGGTATGTTCTTTGATGATATTCGGTGGGTGGTTCGATTCGGTATGCACATATAACGGTGTGTTGTTCGGTTTGTTGTATGGAACATGTTTGCCATTCTTCAGGTTGAGTGTTACGTCCAAAAAGTTCACGATTTTTTTTGTTGGATTCAATTGTAATCTTCAGGCCGTGTTAGAGAAAGATAGAGCACAGGTCTTTTTTTAATGTTTTCAATTTCACGTGGTTTCGCATCAGATACACCTAGACCATCATCTCGATATAGCCCAAAGTTTTTTCCATGTTTCTGTGTTATTTCGTTAAGTAAATATAATCCAACTAACTCACAAGTTTCTGCTCCATCGAAGCTTCCCATAGTTACGTCAAATAGATTGGATGTCGCTTTCTTGCCCCATGGTTCACCTGACTTGTAAAGGCATGATTGTTTTGCATGTATAATGATTTGTCTTTCCTCAGAACTGATGTCGTGGTATATTGACGCGAAATCGAGTGCATTATTTAGCAGTTCGGCTGAAATTGAAGGGTAGAAATCCGCTATGTCGAATGATTTCTTAACGAAATAACACAGAAACATGGAAAAAACTTTGGGCTATATCGAGATGATGGTCTAGGTGTATCTGATGCGAAACCACGTGAAATTGAAAACATTAAAAAAGACCTGTGCTCTATCTTTTCTAAACACGGCCTGAAGATTACAATTGAATCCAACAAAAAAATCGTGAACTTTTTGGACGTAACACTCAACCTGAAGAATGGCAAACATGTTCCATACAACAAACCGAACAACACACCGTTATATGTGCATACCGAATCGAACCACCCACCGAATATCATCAAGAACATACCCATAGGCATTAACAAACGTCTATGCGAAATATCATGACCAAGAATCTTTTGACATAGCAACACCAATCTACCAAAGGTCTATTACAATAGTGGATATAAACACCAACTTAAATACTCAAATGAAGAAAAAGACTGACAACGGTACCAAGAATCGCAAAAAACAGAAGCAGAAATATAATCTGGTTATAAACCCACCATATAGTAAAATGTAGAACCAACATTGGAAAACGTTTCTGAAAATACTAGACGAAGAAAGAATTTCCCAAGGAACACTTGCTACACAAAATATTCAATAGAAACACAGTCAAATTAAAGTTATAGTTGCCCATGAACAATATAAAAAACATAATCGACGGACATAACAAAGCTATTCTTTCCAAAGAAATAGTAAAAAAATCAGCCTAAAACATGCAATTGTAGGAAATAATAGATTGCCCCATGTCAGGCGATGCTTTTGGTGAAATCGTTGTATATAGAGCTACAGTGGAAACAAAACGACGACAAGCCTAAACAAACTTATGTAGGATTAACAGGAAAATACCTTTAAAAACCCGATTTACAAACCACAAAGCATCATTTAGAAATCCTAAGCTTAAAAACAGCACTGAATTAAGTAAATATATCTGGGAACTCAAAGAAGAAAAAACTCGACTTTAACATAACATGGAATATCTTAAAACAAGCCTCACCCTACAACCCAGCCTCCGACCGATGCAACTTGTGCCTATGGGAGAAATTCTACATTATCTGCAAACAAGAAAACGCTAAACTTAACAAAAGAAACGAACTTGTAACAACCTGCAGACATTCCAGGAAATATCTATTAAGCAACTTTAAAAAATGAACAGTATTAATATAGTTACGCCCCTTTATTGAGAAACCACCATTTACACTTCATAGTTACGTCCCTTTATTGAGAACTACCATTTACACTTCTGAAGATTGCGTTTTGCGCATGAAACTAATTAGTAAAGGAAAATGTGTTTTTCAATGTGTTGATTGAATATAAATCCATACATACAGCTCTGGGATACCATCGAGCACTCTGTCTAGGGTTTGTACTGACTTTTAGTGTTATTGGATTTATATATATATATATATATATATATATATATATATATATTTATATATATATAAATGGATTTAATTATTAAACTTCATATTAGGACACAACATCTTTTAGGTCAGGATCTTTATATATATAATTTAAACTCAAATTGACCTTGAAGTTCAAATTATTAGATTTTCCCTGTTTATAGTGACAATTGTCTGTAACTTGGTAATTAATCAATGTCATACTTGGACAGAAAAAGCTATTGGATAAGACCTTTGAAAAGGTTGAACTGACCTTGACCTTAAAATGAACATGACCATCAAGGTCAAATTATTAGATTTTTTAAGTTGTCATATTTTCATGAAAGTAAGGATCTGATTCATATATGGACAAAACAACACTCGTGACCAAAGGACATGTTGAATAATTTAGATATGACCTTGACCTTTAAATGACATTGACTGTCAAGGTCAGATAATTAAATTTTGCTTATATTTACTTAACTATTAATTTGTCATTTGATTATTAGAAAATATACTCGGAATTGAATTTGATATTGATTTTTTTTGTGTGAACTTTAGCCAGATATGCGTGAAAAGCATTGCAACGCTTTTCATTTTAGGCCATTTTGCACAATCAAAATTATCGTTCTAGATTTTCTGGATGAGGAAAATTAATGATCAGAAAATTTGCACACAAAATATTGGTCCAGACCTATATCGAATTGTACAAAAATCTTGAAAAAAATATTTCCAGGCCGCTCACACCAAATAACCTCTCAGTTGATCAGTGGAGTCCCTTTAAACTGTTATAGTTTTTTGTCCTGAAGTCTGATTATTTAAAGACATATTTAGCTGATGTAATCATGTTTAATAGTTGATTGCAATCTATAAAAATATGTCTTTAAATTTTTATATCTGATAAAAACATTTCAGTTTTACCCAGAGGACATGTGTGGTGATCATCACATTTACTGTACAAGTGATCAATACACAGGATGTGTTTGCCGAATAAGAGTAGCTTCCGGAACACCGTGCGGGCATGCCAGGGTGCGTAACTTTACTACAAACATTGCTATTCATGTACATGACATTTTCCTGATCGATTTTTCTCATTAGATCTATACTTTGCATACAAAATTTATTTATTTAATTATTTATTTATTTATTTATTTATTTATTTATTTATTTATTTATTTATTTATTTATTTATTATTCATTCATTCATTCATTTTTATCAGTTTTGTTAAGTGATTACTTGTACAAATTTATATTCTGCTAAGCAGTATTGATTATTTTCAAACAGTTTTCTTCCATTAGATCAGGGAAACAATATATGTAAAGTTCTTTTCTATGTTTGCCTTACAAGTTGACAAGATTATTGCTATTCTGGGTCCTACAGGCGCTTATTTAATTTTGAAGAAAATATGGAAATTACCAAAATATGACAAATTTTCATGAGCTTCAAGAATTTTAGTCGTTGTCATAGTAACCATTTGTATTAAAATCAACTAAAAGCAGAAACATTAGATATTACATTAATACATTGATCTTTTTGTTACAGGTTTGCAGAAAGGGCCAATGCGTATTTAATACAGGTAAATTTGTTTTAAATAAATAGAACTATTAAACTCACTTGATTAATTAACTTCGCTTTGAAATTTCTGCAGTACACTACCTTTTTATATGGTCTAGATGGATTGTAGAATAGTAAATTATGAAGTCACGGTCAGATTACTAATAAAAGAAACAAATGTTAATTTTCTTCTTTTGTAACAATACATTTCTTATAGGGGAAAGTAATAATTGCCACATGTCAGAAAATGCTTTGATAGTCCATTTTATTTGATTGACCAGAAGACAAAGATTTTGGTTAATACTCCATCCCTGACCCTGTATCCCAGGTGCTGTCCCAGGGGTCGTGACCATGGTTTCAATTTACTGGTTCATTAAGATCACAGGTATCAAAATTTTACTTCTTGGATAATTGCAGATGTTCCACTTGGTGAAAATTGTGAATGTCACTCACAGTGTATTAGTAATGCAGTATGTGACCCGGATACACTTGTCTGTGTTTGTAATGAATGTTACTACAACAACAGTGGCAATTGTACTGAAAGTAAGTACATCAATATGATTCATTAAATTTTGGTTGAATTTTATGTCAGCTTAACAAATGATTTCAGCCGCGTCATGACAAAACCAACATAATGGGTTTGCAACCAGCATGGATCCAGACCAGCCTGCACATCCTCGCAGTCTGATCAGGATCCATGCTGTTCGCCATGAGTTTCTCTACTTGTTACCTCGACTTTTCGATAAGAATAAGTAGAGCTATTGTAGTCACCCGAGCGTCGGCCTCGGTGTCGGCGTCTGCATCAGCGTAACCACTTATGTTAAAGTTTTTGTAATAGTTTAAATATTTTCAAAGTCCATTGACATATGGCTTTGAAACTTTGCACACTTGTTTACCATCATGACACCAACCTGTAGACAGGAGGAGGTAACTCTTTCAAGCATTTGACAGAATTATGCCCCTTTTTCGACTTAGAATTTTTGTTAAAGTTTTTGAAAACTTATTTGTATAGATACCATGTAGATCAAAAATTCACATGGTATTTATTAATTAATTAATTAATTTATTTATTTCCTTTGGGTTTTAATAAATTAAATAAATGAATGAATAAGTGAATGAATGAATGAATGAATTTAAATGAATGAAAGAATATGATTAATTGATTGATGGATTGATTGATTGACATAATGAATGAATGAATTTCAGAATATAAACCTTACGTTTGCTTCATTTTTCAGAAATCCCAAATGGTGGGGAATGTAGTGAAGATGTTGAGTGTAAAGATCCGAACGCATTATGTATAAACGGAACATGCCAGTGTAAACCATGCTATTATAACAACAATGGCGTATGTGTAAAACGTAAGTTAATATAACACAAATTTACTGATGTGGTTATTTGCATGAGATTTGATATATATATCACATTCTTATACTGTCACAGGAGACAGGGAAGCTCGACTAATAAAATACTGGACGCAATAAGGAAGACAAAACTATGAAAGAAAAATCAATATACTTCGTAAAGTAAAGCTAAAAATAATATAAAAACATTTTTGTTAAGCAGTTATAACTCGGTGTTCAGCAGTTATAACTCGGTGTTCCATTGAGTACCTTATTATCCGTTTACTCATTCCCAAGCTTAAGGTCTGTAGCTTACCCGTTTTAATACTGCAACAGTATTGCCGCATCAGACGAAAGAAAAGATGTTAAAAAAGTGGCCTTTAAAGTTTTGGAAGCCAGAAATACTCATAAGCAACGGAAATTAAAATAAGCTTTGAGAAAATTGTTTTTGGTCTGGTCTTGTTATCTTCGAATAAATGCACTGAAAGTTTAGCTTTCTTTAAACATCTGTGAATTATTTTTCGTATGTACGTACAGAAAGCAATATAGGCGAACAGTGCAATTCAACAGCCCAATGTAAAGGTGACCGAACTGCTTGTGACACAGAAAGCAATGTTTGCGTTTGTGAGACAGGCTACTTTATTGACGATGAAGCAAATTGCGTTCCAGGTATAGCTACAGTTCATTTATTTTTGTTTAGTCTAACATACATGTACAATTAACACTTCTGCGTACAGTCGTATCTCTTATTTGTAAAAAGTGTGATTTTTTTTTCTTGCTGAATTCAGTTAATTCACAAAAAAGAAGCAAGCTCTAACTGATAAGAAACCATGAATAAAATAATTTTTTTGCACCACTTCAACAAGGAAATTTCAAAACTGTTTATATTTGTATATAGTTGTACAGTGTAAATTAATTTATTTTTCAGTTGTATTTATTTCATCTTTTATTTTTTTTAGTGAACGGAACAATCTGTGACCGGTGCATTCAGCAACCAGATTCATGTACACAAGATGGAACAACCTGTTCTGATAGAGGATTTTGTGAATGTTCTAACAACACAGTGGAATTCAATGGAGAATGCTGTGAGTGTCAAAATTATTGATGTAAAACATTCATCTAGAGTGGAAAAATACAAAAAAAATCAAAGCCTCTTATAGTTCCAAGGGGGTGTGGGGGGTGTGGGGAGGACTGTGGTTGCAATTGACTTGTACATGTAAATTATAGAGTGCAAGCGGTAAGAACAATGTCTCAAATCCACCAGATTTATAGGAAACTTGTAAAGGGAAATTTATTGGGACATTATTGTTGCACCCTTATTGTCAGAATCTTTTAATTTATGCCGCCTGAGAACAAATGAAGATAGGGTTGATAACATGTTATGTAAGTCATCCATAAGTAAGTTTTAATGTGTAATTGTTGAATTTGTAGATGGTACAAGAGTGGGTGAGAGTTGTACAACAGAGGTAGATACATGTACAGATTACTACGCAGAATGTAACGGAACTGTATGCGACTGCGTTGAAGGCTTCAGCTGGAATGGAACGATTTGTGGTAATGTTATTTATAAGCATATAGCTTTGTATCAATTTGTACAGGCATAAAAATACTAATTAGATATTCTTTTATAATTCTATTTTTAAAATGCTTTTGGATATTTTTTTATATTATGTTATACCCCCTGTGGTCCGTCCGGGCGAACGAGAGGACGCTTGTTGGGTACCTCCAACACACGAGAGGACACTTGTTGGGTAATTCTATTCATTCCATCAGTATTGTTGGGTACTTATATTCTCTTGTTATGTACCTTTAAACAAAAGAAGTACCCAATAAATGACCATTCATAGGAACGTCCGTCCGTCTGTCTGTCCGTTAGCAATTTGGTTTCCGGAGCATAACTTAAGTTCCATTTGGCCCACAGTATTCAAACTTCATAGGATGATTGCCCATATTGGGTAGAAGACCCCTATTGATTTTGGGGTCACAAGGTCAAAGGTCCAGGTCACTATTACCTTAAAACTGAAAATGGTTTCCGGAGCATAACTTAAGTTCCATTTGGCCCACAGTCTCCAAACTTCACAGCATAATTGTCCATATTGGTTAGAAGACCCCTATTGATTTGGGGTCACAAGGTCAAAGGTCAAGGTCACTATTACCTTAAAACTGAAAATGGTTTCCTGAGCATAACTTAAGTTCCATTTGGCCCACAGTATTCAAACTTCATAGGATGATTGTCCATATTGGGTAGAAGACCCCTATTGATTTTGGGGTCACAATGTGAAAGGTCAAGGTCACTATTACCTTAAAACTGAAAATGGTTTCCGGAGCATAGCTTAAGTTCCATTTGGCCAACAGTATTCAAACTTTATAGGATGATTGTCCATATTGGGTAGAAGACCCCTATTGATTTTGGGGTCACAAGGTCAAAGGTCAAGGTCACTATTTCCTTAAAACTGAAAACAGTTTCCGCTAAATAACTTAAGTATTAATTAACCTACAGTTGTAAAATTTTATAGGATGGACAGCTATGTCCAATACATGACCCCTATGGTTTTTAGGGTCATAAGTTCAAAGGTCAGGGTCACAATGAGCTTTACACTGAAAGTTGTGGTTTCTTGATCATAACTTCAACTTGATGCTGGTGCTTTGAAAACAGCAACTGTATATATATGAAGGTTTTCCAGCTATAAAGGAGGATTGCTTTTTGAAGGAGGTAATACTGCATTTAATTCCCATGTCTTACAAATGTTTCATCCTTACTAACAAAATAAAAACACTTTTGGGCATATAATGCTCTGCCTAGCGGTGCTCTTGTTTTTCTTGTGAAAGCATATAGTTGTCAAGCTGCACTACTTTCTACTCTTCCAATCAGGATCTGTCACCTTTTCGCCTAGTGCCTTCAAAACTAATCACCGATGCCAATTAGTCAAACTTAATACTTGTATAGTTTAGGTCAAGGCCATAGTGATATTTTCTTCTTTTTTTCTCACAAACCATGAATTATGGCATGTCATGCATGTATGTTTACCAGACATTTTTTTTTAAACTATTAAACAGAGGGAAGACGACATGGTCTCTCCAAAAAATATCTTCACATTGTCTCAGAGACTCTCTTTGACAAGTTTTAATGGTTGGTCTAAATCTAGTCTTTTTGAAATCTATTATTAATAGAATAAAATTTAATAGTAACTGAAATTTCTCTTTAGTTTGATGTTTTTCATTGATATATGTCTCATAACCAGACTCATACATGTATTTGTGCATTATTTCTCACACAACCTTGTACTGAAATTAAATCATTGACTGTTTGTACCATAAAACTGGATATCTTCCTTTCACATAAACTTAAGTCCCTTTAAAACTCATTCAACCATTCACTGTTAAGAAACATTATATTTACGCAAATTTTCTTTTGAATCAGTTGGACGCACACTGTGTGACCCATGTGACACGTCCCCATCATCATGTGATGACGAACTTGTATGCAGCCCTGAAACGTATCGCTGTGAATGTCCTAGTGGCCATGTTCAAGTGGGCGATACCTGCTGTAAGATTTTCTTTGTATCGTTTAATTCTTCTATTTATATAGTTTTTGCTGATTAAAGCATTATTTTTATAATCTTGTTAAATTGAAGTAATGCTGATAAGTTCTAAATAATCAAATTAAAAAAAAACAGCAACCCATTGGTTTGTGTGTAGTAGTCATAACAGAAAAAATGTAGAAAAAAATTTATATAAACAAATGTAATAACATCTTTATTTTTAATTTTTTGTTTGTTTTTGTTATAATACAGTATAACCTCCGAGGAGGGGCCCCTTGTAGACCAATTACCTCTTTATATAAAAGCAATATTATTTCTTCACTAAGTAAACAATTTTACTATATTTTACTGTAGAGCAACACCTCTATGAGCAGCAACTAAAATATTTGTCTCCCAAAGGGTGTAGGTTTTACTGTTGTGTTTTGTAAATGAAAAATTTTGATTCTGGAATGTTTTTACTCTTAAATCAGTTTTTAGCGAGTTCCGATTTTCTCAACTTTCACTGAATATGTTAATTTGAAATATTTCATTGCAGGTGGCAGATTTGTAACTGAACCTTGCAGTGGTTATACTGTTGTGCTTTGTAAATGAGAAATTTTTTATTCTGTAACGTTTTTACTCTTAAATCTTGTACAGTGAAAGTTGAGACAACCGGACATCGAAGGGAAAATCTTGGACTGATAAATCATCCAGTATTTAGAGAGTTACGATTTTCTCAACTTTCACTATATATATTAATCTAAAATCTTTCATTGCAGATGGCAGATTTGTTACTGAACCTTGTACAATATCCCTCGATACCTGTGTCGATGACAACGCTGAATGTAACGGCACTGTGTGTGTCTGTATTGCTAACTTTGTTTGGAACGGATCAATTTGCGGTAAATTTTTTCATTGTTCATTTACTTCTAGATTATTTATAATAAGAAAAAAGATACTATTTCAAATGGGGTGTTTAATTTCTTAAATTTTAAGCAATCATAACCAACTTTAGGATTATTTCTATATTTTTGAAGAATAAGGAGAGCTATTGTAATCACCAAGGCATCTGGGTCGACATCACCATCACACTTAATTGGTTAAGTTTTTTGCGTGAAAGTTATTATCTCCAAAAATACTGAATTGAATGGGTTGAAACTGCAAACTTTATTTGAGAGCATAATAGAAATTAAAGAAACAAGGTCATTTTTTTAAGGCCCATAACTCAAACTTGGATTTTAAAAGAAGTATAATTCTACATTATTCAGGCTCTAAAAGTGTTTTGCTATTAAGCACCATGCTGTCCTTCTGATTGCTCTTGTTGTCATTTATAGAAGTGTATATTAATGTACTTAAAATTTGAGCCGATATATTTATTATCCATATTTGACCTTCGATGTACCAGTACCAACTCGGTCATATTGACAATTATATTGACTGGTTTACGTTAATATTAAGTTTTTCACATGTATACAATAAAGTTATGTTATAGTTGGAGACAGCCTGTGTGACCCCTGTGACCCTGCTATTACTACATGTGACTCTTCACTAGTATGTAGTTCAGATACTTACAGATGTGAATGTCCCCCAGGATTTGTACAAATAGGAGATGCCTGCTGTAAGTACATTTGTGTACTTTCATTATAGAAATATTAGAATATGGTTCATCTCTTACTTATACACAATATTTTTCTGATAACATTGTAAAGATTTCACATTTTAGTGAATTTTCTGAACTTTTTTGTTGAATTTATCAATTGATATATTAGTTTACATATAATGAAAACAAACGTTATCATATTTGACTCGGACCTGTTTCTGCTATTGAGATTGCTATTTGACCTTTACAACTATTGAGTTTAGATCATTTACTACTGTAAAATCAGTTTTGTTTTTTTTGAAGCATAATACATATGTTAACTGTGAAATATTATATAATTGAATACAGTACATTATACAATATAATATAATAAAAAATATAAATGAGCCACGTCACGACACGTCTGCGCAGTCTGATCTGGATCCATGCTGGTCGCAAACCCATTATGTTGGTTTTGTCGTGACGTGACTCAAATGTTTGGTATACTTGTAAAGCATAATATCTGATACAGTTTGAAAATAATTCAAAATAAATACCTTAGTCATTTTCATTTGGGGGTGGGGAGTTCATGTGATCGTCTTATGTTAGTAAATGAACCGTTGGTATGTCCCCACAAAGTGGGAGCATATAGCGTTGCACTTGTCCGTCCGTCCATCCGTCCGTCCATCTGTACGTCCTGAAATCTTGTGAATGCAACTCCTCTTAAACTGGATGGCAGATTTTGCTTAAACTTTCAGGGATGAACAACCTTAATGTGTAGATGGTAGTAAAGGAAGGAATTTTTGCAGCGACCAAATTTAACAGAATTATGGCCCTTTGTTGATTTTTAGCTCGACTATTCGAAGAACATGAGAGCTATTGTAGTCGCCCCGGCGTCGGCGTCGGTGTCGGCGTCAGCGTCCGCGTCGGCGTCTGCGTTGGTTAAAGTTTTTTGTAAAGTCAAATATCTCAATAATTACTTGAGATATTCAATTGAAACTTACAATACTTATTTATAGTAACAAGGTACATCAGATTGACAAGTTTGATAACTCTGCCTACAATATTGACAGAATTATGCCCCTTTTTAACTTAGAAATTTTGGTTAAAGTTTTTTGTAAAGTCAAATATCTCAATAATTACTTGAGATATTCAATTGAAACTTACAATACTTATTTATAGTAACAAGGTACATCAGATTGACAAGTTTGATAACTCTGCCTACAATATTGACAGAATTATGCCCCTTTTTAACTTAGAAATTTTGGTTAAAGTTTTTTGTAAAGTCAAATATCTCAATTATTGCTTGAGATATTCAATTGAAACTTACAATACTTATTTAAAGTAACAAGGTACATCAGATTGACAAGTTGGATAACTCTGCCTACAATATTGACAGAATTATGCCCCTTTGGAACTTAGAAATTTTGGTTAAAGTTTTTTTGTAAAGTCAAATATCTCAATTATTGCTTGAGATATTCAATTGAAATTTAAAATACTTTTTTATAGTAACAATGTACATCACTTTGCAAAATTGCATAACTCTGCCTGCAAAATTTGAAGAATTATTTGCCCCTTTGAAACTTAGAAATTTTGGTTAAAGGTTAAAGGTCTTCAAAGATATTTACTTGAAACTTTACACATGCACTTAGATTCATAATTGGAGGGTCATAATTGTATGTCACTAACCAAGTTCCATAACTCTATCTTGCATTTAGGCTGATTCATATCCCCTTTTCTACTTAGTCTCTTGGTTAATGTTTACATGCAAGTTTTACATATCTCAATAACTATTAAAGATATTTATCTAAAACTTCACATATGCATTTAGGGTCATAATTGTAGGTCACTGACAAAGATCCATAATTCTATCTTGCATTTAGGCTGATTTTTCTCCCCTTTTTCAACTTAGAAATTCATGGTAAAGTTTTGCTTGTAAGCTGTTATCTCAATTACTACTGAAGGGTTTGTGCCTTTTTTGGGACAATTTTATGCATTCATAATAATAAAGCAGTGATTTACTTGATAAAACATCTTAATTAGAAGCCTTTGTACCTTTATCAAGCACTTAGAATAGTCGAGCGTGCTGTCCTACCGACAGCTCTTGTTTCAATATATACTGTGTAGAAATTTTGTGAACGCAACTCCTCTTAAACCGGATGGCAGATTTTGCTTAAACTTCCAGGGATGAACAACCTTAATGTGTAGATGGTAGTAAAGGAAGGAATTTTTGCTGCGACCAAATTTACCAGAATTATGGCCCTTTGTTGATTTTTTCACTATATACCATATAGAAATTTTGTGAACGCAACTCTTAAACCGGATGGCAGATTTTAATAAAAAGTTCCACATAAAAATCTTACATACAGATATGCATGCTCTTGTTTACGAGCACATCTGCACAGTGGGGGCATCCGTGTCCTTTGGACACAGTTCTAGTTTAACTTCATCTATTGGCAAGGTCACAGTGACCTCTTGTCATATCACTGAGAAATAACATAGCTATTGACATGGCGCATAAGTACAATATTCAATTACAGATGGGACCGTTGTTGGTGAATCATGCACAACTTTAATTGACACGTGTATTGATGACAATGCTGCATGTAATGGTACTGTGTGTGACTGTTTACCTAATTGGGTATGGAATGGATCTATATGTCGTAAGTTTTGAGAGTCTTGTCATTCCGTAATGATTTTGCTTAATATGGATATGTCACATGTCGTAAAAGACGCTGAAGCTTGTAAACATTTACAAGCCTTATGTTGAACAGTATTGCCTCTCCCTTTGATACCAGTGAAGAGCTTAGACAATTCTACATATGTGTCATTTATGACAAGACACTCTACAAGGATTGCTACAATGTACCAGATTTAAGTGTTTAGATTAAGGGAAGTGTTGGTCTTGTAGTTATGGTGTTTGACTCTCAAACCAGGGATCATAGGCTTGAACCCTACAATAGCCACAACTATGTTTCCTAATATTACACCAGTACTGGTAAGTTTTAGGAAAAGTAGCAGACTTGACAGGTGTTTAAAGATGCTTCAAGCCTGTATCCAAATAAAGTTAAAAATAAATGTGTTTGAACTTTAATGAATCTTTTTATGCTGCAAGAGACGTTTTCAGATTTACAGCAAGATAATATTTATACACAATAATATATTTTTGGCTTCTATTAACTCACTCTGAAGATGTTTTGTAAAAACTGAATTGTTACAAATATTAGTAATCTACATACATGTAAACCTGTACCGTAGGCCTAGTGGTTAAGGTGTCTGCCTTTAGATCAGGAGGCCCCACGGGGAGTGTTTATTTAAGGATAAATGTTCTTTTTTGGAATGGTTCTGAAATGGCCGCTACGTGAGCCGCGAGGTATTTGAAATGAGTAAGAGTTGAGAGGTATATGGTATGCAAGCGAAAAGTGTCTCTTAAGTCAGAAATGGTTGGCCCTTGCAGTAGGTGTGACAGTATAATAAACAAGACCTTTTTGTATATGTTAATTGTCAACCTAATATTTTTACAGTTGGACCAGATTTATGTGACCCGTGTGATACATCAACAACATCTTGTGACTCAGATCTTGTGTGTAACCCGACCACGTACAGATGTGAATGTCCGACTGACGAAGTACAATATGATGATGAATGCTGTAAGAACTTTTAATATCAGCTTGGTTACTAATGTTACTATCAGCCTTAGTATTTTTACAGTGAAACCCGTGTTTAAAGTCTCCTTTAAGTAAGTATTTTTGTGAGTGGCCTTTGTAAACAGGTTTTATTGTATATGACTTATGATGAAGCAATCCTGCTCAATACTATACATGGATATAGTGATTTTTGAATAGAAGTTGCAAACAAAATGTTCCAAATCCCATAAAAAGACCAAATTATATCAATTAGAAACAATCAATGCAAAAAACAAATAACTGATATGAGATATTTTGGACAATATATTTGTATAATTTGTATAACAGAATATGCATTGGCATATTTTGTTATTTTGTATCTATCTAATTAAACTTTCTGAGAAAAATATTTAATTCTTTCAGACGGGACTCATGTTGGCGATTCATGCACAACAAGTTTGAACACGTGTATTGATGATAACGCTGGATGTAACGGGACAATATGTGACTGTTTACCTGGGTTTTATTTCAACGGAACTATCTGCGGTAATTCATGTTTTTGTATTTTTACTGTTCCAAAAAATTCTTGTCTGTAAAAACTGTCGTCTGCTTAAAGTCAATTGTTCAAAATGGAAGGTCTGTAATGAAATATTAGATAATTTTGTTGATAATATTTAGTATTATACTTAACAGCAAA